AGGGGGCAGTATATAGGGATCAGAGTAGGGGTTGCATGGGGTCAGGTGGGAATGTATGGGTGGGCGGATATTGGAATTCGAGTAAGGGTTAGGGTGGGGATGTGCAGGGTGGGTAAGGACAGATAGGGGAAGATAGGGTAGGTGGGTGTAGGGGGTTGGGGTGGGGGAGGGTACGGGTCAGGGGAGGGGAAAGGAGATAGGGATTGGAGTTTGGGTGGGTTTGGGATGTGTAGGTGATAGGGTGGGGATGGTTAGGGGAGGATGGGATGGGTGTGGGTAGGGGGTTGGGTGGGGGAGGGGGGGGGGGGCGGGTTGGGGATGGGGTAAGGTTTTGGGATAGGGTAAGGTTTGGGGGAGGTGGTGATGGTGCTGTGTCTTCATGTACATGTATACCCATTCTTGTTCTGCATTTGTGGCGACTACACAAGAGTTTTCCCATGGTAATACAAGTATGGGGAGCAGAAGACACTGTTGGGGCTGCAAAAATCCACAACTGGGTCCTAATTACCCTAACAATGGAAAACTCCCCCATAATACAGTGACGGCTAACCTACGGTATATACACATGTATTTATTAGGTAATCTGTTGACTTTTTATGTTGACATTTAAAAACTGACCCCTACACCTAGGCACATCAACAAGAATCCTAATCCCCTTCCATCATGCCCATCCCCAACCCTACCTTCAGCCTCCCTTCCTGCCTTGGACAGCGAGCCATGGCGGCTTCGCCGTTCTAGTTTTGTTTAGAATATACTGTTGCTCGTAAAAAGTTTAACTGTACTGAAAAGTGGAGAACCTTGTATTTTTTTATCTCCATATTTGGTTCCATTTAATTCTGGAAAAAGAATTGTATCATTATGCATGACATCGCATGTAAATATTATTGTTGCAAGGCTGCTTTCTTACATTTAGTAAATACCTTCGTGTGGCGTGGGGCCACAGGGCCAGGGGCCCGCTTTATGGCCCCGGAAAATATTGGATTCTGGATGCACTGTGATGAAATACACTGAAGTATACTGAAACTTATAAAACCCAAAAGGATATTTGGTTCAAATTAAAACAAATGGTTCCACTGGAAGCGGATGAAATTCTGTTCATGAAAAAATTCACATACATGTAGTTCTAACTCACGAAACGATGTAGCTCTCGATATATTTGCAGTGTTATTTGTTTGTTACAGGGAATGGCAAATATAACAGACTAAAAGACCAAATGCATCTTTATGTTTATATGGTCGGTAGATGGCAAGTTTGAGGTTAGGCAAGGATTTATCGGTCTACTGAGTTTTATGAGGAAAAAAACTTGCAAAGGGTAAAATATGAATAGCTTTTTTATTAAAACTAAACTACACTGGATTTGGCGTAAAGCAGTTTCAATGAAAGCCCGTCCCACTCCTATTAGGTTGGGGATGTGCATGTGCATGCTACATGTACATAGCATGTATTTGTTAATGTTGAGTACAGAATGCTAGCAACGTCAATGAAACTTTTCAATGAAAAGAAAAACCTTAAGGGGAAAGGTATGAACATTTGCCCCTATTGAAAGATCAAATGAAAAAAATCCTGGCAAGCATAATCAACTTTGCCACCATTGTCATGGCCGAGATTATTGCTTTCGGGTCAAAGCTTCCATCATGGCGGAAATATCATAGACATGTCATGATTTTAGATACCTTGAGAGAAATATCGATTCTGCACTGCCTGAAGATTAAGAAAATACCTCCTCTGGATATTTTACAGTGTTTGTGCTAGACGTTCGAAGCGCCGCGCTTAGCCGAATATATATAGGAGATATATTTGTAGAGCAAGCATGATGTATATCGTAGCGGCGCAATTTCATCGTCGGGGTGCTGAGGCATATTCCAGCACCCCCATCCAAAAAGTTGGGGGTGCTGCAGCACCCACAGCACTCCCCGTTCCCGAGGGCTTGGGGCTCAGGCTGTATTTAATACACTTACATGCATACGTGTACATGTACACGTTTGTTTATGGTGTAATATTAAGGATTTTCTATTGTTTCTCTTCCCTTTTCCTTTGTTTATACCCTTAATGTTTTGGCAACAGCTCTCATTGGTTTTGTACACGTTTTCTAATCGAGGTCGTCCTCGATTTGGCTCCTGTCCTCAATTCACCGATGATGTTGCACGCGTGTGCCTTCGATTTACACCATAAACCTACTCATGTACACACACAATCTTGTTCCGTAATCGTGGTGACTACACCTTTTCATAAGATGAATTTGTGTTGGGGTGATGTAAATCAATATTAGGTTTTGCCCTTCAGCGACGTATTACATGTAACACTGTATACTCAGTAAGTTACACATGTACCGGTGCCGGTACCTCCCAAGTTAAAGTTGGAAAAAATAACTATTGCTCACACCAGTTGAACAATAGTTATTGTGGGGACCGCCGCACCGAAGATGCTATGGGGATAGCAGAAAGTCCCCATAACTTGGTCCTAATTTCCCTAACAATAGAACATTTTCCCAGTGTGCCGGAGGGTACACACACACACACACCTTTTGCACTATAACGATTGTGGAATTGTTTGTCTTTAAAAGCATGATATTATACACATCAGATCAAATATTCACACGTTATTATTTTTACATAAATATTTGATGGGTAATATTAATTATTCATTTTTAAGATCTTTATTTAGATCGATGTGTTGAAGGGATCGTTTTTTTTCTTGGTCAGGAGGCTCTATAAAATCTCTTTGTCCTCTGTGTAAAAATACACGTAAACCTAAAAATAGACGTTGTTCATACAGTTACCAATTCAATCAGTAATTTGCTTCAGTTGCGTACGTGCATATTTTCATGCCTCCTCCAAACAACGAGTTGCAGAAGACTGTAAGGGACGTGCTCTTGCCAGCAGTAAATTTATAGCAATCTGTATTTTTAGCATGGTGATTCCTTGCCTTTTTTGTTTTGCTCTAAAGGTTTCACATTTCCTATGCAATTAGGATTACTCGGTGTTCAATTTTGTCTCGCAAAATGCTTGACCACAACTGACGTGCAACAATCTGCAGTACCTTTTTTCGTTTTATTTTTTTTTGGGTGGAAAGGTTGAGTTCAACATTTTTTTTTTTTTTAATCGTCGCTACAGGAACAGTGTACCTCAAAAGCTACTTCAAAAGTGTACCTCAAAAGCTACCCTGGATGTACACTGAGCACTGTAAATCGTTCATGAAGCACTTGTGACAAGTGGATTTTTTTCAAGTTCAGTGATTGATTTTAGTTTCTAGATTTTGCACATGTCGGTAATAGAATTGTCTTTAATACATTGGTGGTTTTTTTTTACTTTATTCATTTCACACAAGTCGTGGCTCTCAAGCTAAATGAACTGTGTGGTGCATGTACACGTCGTGAAAATTTAAACCTTTAAAAATTAAGAAATTGAAGGAATCAAACGCCAGCTTATCCTACAATAAAGCTGATTTATTTTTACCACTGAAAACCTGATAGAAATAATAATTTATAATATTGTACCCCTGACGGCATTTCCTTGATGGTGTGGGTGACATTACAATGATATTGGCGCGTGTGACAGGTGCGTGTGACAGGTGTTTGCATTAAAATTTAAATGCAGCAATATCGGTTTGGATACACTGAAGAAAGCCAGGTCATGTACCCTGGCCTACCGGGGTACATGTACATGTAACTCCCTCTGCATTTTTGATGATCCTCAATCCTGCAAAATCCTCCAACTGCGCCATGTAAAAATACAACATACATAGCATACAGCCTCAATCCTGCAAAATCCTTTGTTATTTCTTGAAAATGGTCCTTGGAGGGGTGGCCACTGCCTGCATCCTGCAAAGGCAATCACTTTCAATATGTTGAGGCAGAGCACTTGACATATCCTGGAGCAGTGCGGAGGATTTCAAGTATAATATCGGCCTAAATGTGTGCATGGTTGAGCATGCACAAACAACACAAGGTCTGGCACAAGACTCAACGTCCTCCGAAATCATCAACACCTCTTTGCCACGTAGCCTCAATCCTGCAAAATCCTCCATTTTGCAAAAAGGATTTTGGAGGATTTGGGAAGGTTAGGGTTAATTGAATTAATTAAAGATTTTCCACAGTGTCTTTAACCAATTTTATTATTTTAATCCTGAAGAATTTTCAACTTCTACATTTAATTTAAAACAAAATATTTTTTTTTTATTTTAGGGATATGTGACCCTCAGAAAAGAAAGGTTCTTATTATGGGTTGTTTTCGATGCCTTGTGAGTGAACTGGTTCCTGCTTCCCACAATATCAAACCTGATAGGGTGATGATGGGAACCAGTCTATTCTGCAAGAACTGAATTATTTCGGGCCACAAAAAATCCGAAATTTGTAAAACTAAGAATTTCAAATAAAAAAGAAGAATTTGTAAAGCATTTCGAAGTGGCTTGTACTGTGAAAATGAAAATTTTGTTTCTCACTGCACTATTTAGTTTTGTTGTTTTTTTGCGTTCTTTTGCTACCAGTATTTTTCGAGTTTTATCCCAAAAAATAGATTGTTTTTCTAATTTGCTATTTTTCTAGCAATAGAAAAGTTATTCACTTTTGAATGAGACATCAACTGGGAAAAAAAATGGCCCAGGTTCAATTTTTGAATTTTTATTTTACAATTTTGATAATGTACCGGTACAGACCGGGGGCCAGTCTGCCTGCAAAATGAATCTGTTTGTGCGGAAAACAAAAAAGGCCCTTTTTTCAGATGGTTGCAGTCGTCCAAAAATGGTGGGATTAGGTTTTTGATTGGGTTAAAATAACCAAGTTGAACATTCTTTAAAATTAACCCTAACCGAACACAACCCATCAAACTTCAACAGCAGGTTTGTGTTTAAATCTGTTGGGATAGTTAATGGAAAAAAAATTGAACTTGTTGAAGAGCATTGGGGAACACAAGAATAACCTTAAAAAAGGTCTGGGTTTTACATTTTACACCAACATTTTGTTATTACTGATACATATCTTCCTTTTTTTCTTTTCTAATTAGCCTTACAGACATGCCAACCAGACCAGCCTTAGGCCTCGACAACAAGGACAGAAAGAAAGAAACCATCGCCGTCCATTGGTTCCGCCACGGACTTCGTCTCCATGACAACCCTAGCCTTATCGATGCCATTAATCTTGCCAGCGAGCTGTACCCTATTTTCATCTTCGATGGCGAGGTTGCGGGTAAGTGCACAAAACAACAAACGCTGCTCTGTTATCGCTAGATGTGAATCACAGGCAATTTCTATTTTAGTATGAAGTGCTGGCCTGTAGCTGCACGGGACTTACATGTAATATACAACATTTGCAAACATCAAAAAACAAAACTACCAAATTATTATGAAAATACCCTACTTGCATTGACTTGACTGTAAGTGAATAATAGTCTCAAGCATCCTGTGAAATCATGGCACCTGGTGTGTCGTCATTTTCAAGAGGAATTTTTGTATCAGTTAAAAAAATTATTTTGTTTTCTTCAAATACTGCCCCCAAGTTTTAATTACCGGTAGTGCACACTTTGTTTGCAATCGGTTACACATCCGTGCATGGTGCAAGCCAACTGGTCTGGTTCCCTGACCAGACAATTCCCCCGACATCTGTAAATAGCTCTGTTTCGTCTGAAGTAGGATCAGGGAACCAAACCTCAAGAACAAAATTTTTTTCTCTTGGTTTGTCTAGCACCTATCCATGTGTATGAAAACACAACTTTAATTAAACAGGCCGGTGTAACAATACATGTATAATTAGCTGTAAAATACTAACTCCCAAATTCATCCATTTCTGAAAATGACAGCAAAAGCCACATGTTGTATTTTCTTTAACTTTGTTGACACCTTCCTCATATGCATACCGGTAGATGTTGCCAGCATTCTAAGGTTTGAACAGTGCAATAGTGCATGCATTTTGGTTAGGCCAAGGGACAACAAGATGTAGTGAGATTTCTCAAAAATATTCGACTAAATTTTCATAATTTGTCATTTAGATTCAGAACTGTTTTCCATTTACAAGTGTTTTTTTTTTCTGTGTGGTTTTTTGAGGTGTTTTTTTTATTGGAATACTTTACAGTTATCCCCTGTGTCATTTGAAAGTAAAAATTCAAGTTACTCTCTGTGAGCCGAGTTTTAGAGCAAAAAAAACACTCAGAAACTGATCCATGAAATTCGATGAAGCAATTAATGCAAGATGGGGGATTAAAAGTTGATTTTTGATTGGTCGGTGACGACCGTCAACACTAATACTGCACTCTAAATGCAAATGAATAAAATGCAAGATACACACACAAACAGATCATCTGTTTGCATCTGAGATGTGCCTGGGCTTAATTGTGTGGTACTAGTTCCCTAGAGTGTCACAACTGCACTGTACAAGTACGATCAAGTGCGGTGTTTTTACCGGTACTTATTCCTGAGTGAATTAAAGTACATGTACACACGTACAAAATGTACGTCATGCTAGGCAGGACACTATTAATTGGTCTTTGACATGCACTTTAATAGTTAAACATGTTAAACTATGCAAAATATTTACAATGTTTTTTGCGGAGGGACTTGGTCTCAGACTGTACATCTACCGCTTCTCAACCCGCAGCAATTATTTATTGATAATTCAATTCAAACCCTCCTATTGTTTGACCAGTCACAGACAGTCAAAAAGTTCTTCCAGTCTTCCCCTGCCTCCCATTTGTTTGTACAGACTAGTAAAAAAAACAGTCAGATCACATTCGCGCAAAGACTGTGACTAGTCAAATTCCATCAACAGCTAGACAAAAGGTAACTGCAGTAGGTACAGCTGGCATATCAATCACCTCCATTCAAAGTATGGCTACATGTATATCAAAATTGAGAAGGGAATTCTTAAACTGTTATGCTTTGTGGCATACCGGTAGCTAAATTTGTAAGCCAGAGAAGGAGTGTTCAATTGTGATTAATTGATTACGTGTGTACAGTGTACATGTTTGGAACCACATGTTTGGAACCACATGTTTTGAACCACATGTTTGGAACCACATGTTTTGAACCACATGTTGGAAACCACATGTTTGGAACCACATGCTCGGAACCACATGTTTGGAACCACATGTTTGGAACCACATGTTTGGAACCACATGTTGGAAACCACATGTTTGGAACCACATGTTTGGAACCACATGTTGGAAACCACATGTTTGGAACCACATGTTGGAAACCACATACATATCAACAAGTGACAGTGTGAAAACAAAGGCTCCCCTTTACAGAAGAGCCAAAAGAAAGTACACTGTACATGAACATGAACATGTGTATCTATAAACAAAAAGACTATGCACTTGGGAAATTACAGTCAGAGCAATATTCTGCAATGTCCATTGATAGGCCAAAAATTAAAGTCCCTGGTTTCTGGTATGCAGCGTGCCCCAAAAGTTGTGCGGGATGCAGTTTTTTTTTCTCCCCTACTTTTTTCTTCTTCAAATGACAGCTAATGTTGCAGATGACGCTTCGATCCCCTTAAAACTCTCAAAAATATCCTCTGGGTGGAGCTTGAGGTGACCTCAGTAAGGCTATAAGGCTTGAGAATTCTGCACCCACTTACGATCTCGACGGACACAAACATATTTCGAGAAAATTGGATAGTCAATTGAGAAAAATCAGAGAAAACGGTAACATCGGACCATACACTACAGCGACATCGACATCGTGCTGTTCGTGCATGAGCTAACGGGCTGGTCATTAGTCTGCTCCCTTACATATTGCACTAATTAAAAAGTGTTGATAGGTTCCAGATACAAGGCCATTGCTCTCTCAATCTGGCTTCCAGCCATGCCAGCTGCACAATTACAACATTACAACACCGTCTGCAAATGGTGCCGTACTAAATTTAGTGCAAAATATATGGAAGCCCAGTGAGGCCACATAAAGCTTATACTCGATCGTAACTCCATGATCTAAAAACAAGTATGTTAAAATTATGCAGTCAGCAAAATTCCAGTCAAACCAGCGAGTTTGGCGGTTTGGAGACGTCATCTTACATTGAAAACAAACTTTTAAATTTTTGCCGACACGCATGGCTACGGCGACGTGCGCTGGCCATATCAGAAACCAGAGACTTTGGGGGGGGGGGGCCATAAAAGACATGTACTGCAGCTTCTATGTTTTTGTTGAGTAAACCATGTGGACTCACAAAAGTTTGCCTTCATTGTAGAAAACTTTTTGATGACCAGGTGTTTGAGGAAAAAGTTACTTGTACCACCCAGTACCCGGAAAATGTTTAGCAATGCAATTAATCAAATTGTTAAATTAATGGAAGATGAATGATACATGTACATACTCTACAATCTCATTATACATGATGTACTCCAGCATTGGGAGTGGTTGTGCAATCAGCAAACCTGAACACATTAGGAAAATTTGCTTCAACAAATCATACCTACATGTACGTGTCTTGACTTAAATTTTAGTACGTACAATTTGGGGATTGTAAAAACAATCCCCAAATTGAACAATAATTTAAAAACAGCTGCTTTTGTGCCTTCTTTGTAAGTCCTTAACAAGGGATAAGTACACACCATCAATAGAGGGGCACTTAGTGAATTAATTTCTTTCAGACAAGTTTACGGCACTAACAAACAGAAATTTACCAGCGTGGCCAGAAGGTACGTTTCCGGCATGCAGACTTAACTCAAGATTTCACTTCACTCGTGTTTTTCTCCTCTCGACGACGCATTGTCGGTTTTTTTTTTATCAAATTGTAAGACCATAGCAAGCATTCAGTTTGAGTTCACTCACCTCCAGGGCAGTGACACGCGCTGCTTGCCTTATTTGTGTTGTTGTCGTGTTTCTTACAATCGTTTTAGTAGAAACTGTCCAATTTGCCGTAAGAGCTTGCAGCAGGCGTGCACATTTGATTGATATCTTATACAATTGACCAGGGCCGGAAACAATCTCACTCAGTTGCACAATTTAAACAATAAAAAGGCTTACGGTACATCAAAGTAAAAAATATCTCACGTCACGTTTTATCGTTGTTTGCCTAGAAGGGACGGGCATGTCCAATCTTGTCATACATGTAGATCTTTTTAGATCTTTTTTGTCTGGTCTGATGTGCCATCCTGCTACCTGTGGTACATTTACCAGTAGTCCATGAATTAGTCTTAGTTTTAATTGGGTATAAAATGTGACATGTACTGTAAGGACAAGGAAAATTGCAGATGAAGAATTAAAACCTAACCTTCTGTAAGGACAAGGAAAATTGCAGATGAAGAATTAAAACCTAACCTTCATGAAGACCATGTTCATACCAGTTTATCCTTACACACAAACTTCATTTACAGCTTGCATTTGGGCAATTCCATCGTTACTGACATTACATACAGAGCCTAAAATCAATTTGAAACAAAGTAAAATACTTGCAGTGAAAGAACATTTTATGTATTTGGTACTTGTTGTAACTCTAGCTTAGGCCTTTCATGAGATGGTTAAAGGGAATATACAACATTTGCTTTTGCTGTAATTTTCAGAAATGGATGGATTGGGGGGAGGGGGGGGTTAGTATTTCATAGGAAATATTGTTATACTGACTTGTTTGAAGTTTTGTGTTCGTAGATGCTTGAAAAACCAAGAAAAACAACCACGTTCCTGAAGCCTGGTTCCCTGACCCCACTTAAGATGAAACAGAGCAATTTATAGATGTCAGGGAATTGTAAGGTTGGGGAACCAGTCTGCTTGCTTGTACCTGTTCATAGAACTGTGTGTAATCGATTGCAAACAAATGCAACCCAATTAACTAAATAATGGTAATTTGGGGGCAGTATTTGAAAAAAGCCATTTTTTTTCCAACGCTGGTCGGCCGACCAGCATTGGAAATTGATACAAAAATACCACTTTTCTTGAAAATGACGGCACATCAGGTGCCACAATTTTACAGGATGCTTTAGACTGTCATTCACTAAAGTCCAGTAAGGTAGGCCTACATGTATTTCACATTAATTTGGTAGTTTTGTTTTTTGATGTTTGCAAATGATAAGCGCTGTAAACAACGGATGTTACACTTTAAGACATATATTTTTTTATGTCAGTGCATATTGATAAAAGTCTGTTACGTTACAAGCAAGAATATAATGAAATAACTATGTTGTGGTACATACAGGTTCACTATTTCAAAACACCTATGACATTTTACAAAACGGAACTTTGATGTTATGAAAACAGCATGCTTTTGTTGTTATGGACGTTACATTATAACGTTACGAACATTACATGTACGTGTCTGAAATCCGCTTCAAACACATGATAAAAAAACATACTGTGTTACAGTATTGTAAGTTGTTTGTGATATTTTCATAAAATATCAACCTTTCTCTCTGCCTCAAAAATAAAAACCCACAATAACCCAAGTTGCATTTTACATGTGAAAACAAGATGCCAAAATGACTAGCCTCACGTATGTACAATGTAAATCCTATAACTGTAGCCCCTGAAACCAGTTGTTTTTTTTACGAAAAAAAAATTATTCAACCACATTCTATCTCACTGACATACCACTCAAATAAAAGGCCTTGTTGTCCCCTTTCATTTGATACCACATTTGAGGTTGTAATGCTTGTACCGGTAGTTCTGAAGATGTCATAAATTGTTGACTTTTCAGCAATGTCCACTTTCCGTGGAATTGTCCATTTGAGATACATGTACTTGCTGTAGGCAAGTCAACTCAGATAGTGTGCAGGTCACCAACTTCCTCATCATGCATTTCCAATTTTATATTGATGCATGACTCAAATATCAGAGGACCTCCTAGTCTTACCCACTGTCATGTGTCAATTACAAAAAGGGGTCATCTCTCTGCATTGCCATGGCAACCAGAATGTAAAAAGTTTCGTAGTTTCGTTTTTTTATAAGCATGTACCGTAAGCTACATGTACATGTAAAGGTTTGTGATATGAATCTTACAAAGTACAGAAGATTTATGTTTCATTTCATTTCTATCCTCTACCATACGTTATATTCTCTGTCATAATAAGTACAGTGAATCATAACTCATTTCCTGTTCTCAAAAACAAAATGGCTTGATAAAGACAGGAAAAAATCAAATCAAATGCATTCCAGAATAAATAACCTACACCTACATAAAAACATAAAAACATTAAACGTTTTACTCGTTCAAAACTAGAAGAGTGTTATGTAATTGAACATGTCTACATGTCAATTCTAATTATGATACTGGTACTTGATTTTATGATTTCTCGTGATATTGTAGTTTATTGTCATTCCAATTTACCTCAGGGACAAAAGTCTGCGGTTTCAACCGTTGGAGGTTCCTCTACGAGTCTTTGGAGGACATCGACAGAAAGCTCAAGGAAGTTGGGGGAAGACTCTACACTTTCAATGGCGATCCTTGCACCGTCTTTAATCAACTGATTGAGGCAAGGATACAGAAGTTACCAAATTTGGCTCTGAAACAGTAAACATCTTGGCAAGAAATGTGTCCATGTTAACTTTAAAGGTCCCTGTACTCCCCCCCCCCCCAAGTTTCTCCCCATACTGTCCCAAACTACCAGATCACTCATTGTAAACATTAATTAGGGAATAAATAGAACAGGTGGTTATACATGTAGGTTTTTACATGTAACAGCGTGGCCACTCCTTGGGATTTTTCACAAGATCTTGGGAATTTAGGCCGGGCCTTGGGAACTTTTTGCTGAGCCTTGGGATTTTTTGCTTATTGAGAACACACCAAAGTATGGATTGCGCATGCGCAAAATGTTTATCAAAGCACTTGGTGAGCCCCATTCACATAAATTGAAAATAGGGTCTGTGCTGCTATTTTGATACATAGTGCTGATATCTTGTGAAATCCTGGAAATTTTTCTGCGGTCAGCTTGGGATTTTATCGGTAGCAGCATTGGTTCAATATGTTTCTCAACCTAACATGTCTAAAGCCCGGTTCATACGTCACACGAAAGCAAGTGCGAAGCGAAATTCATGTCGTTAACAATGGTGGACGCGCTTCGAACGTGTTGTTGACGTCACGAATTTCGCTTCGCTTTCACTTTCGCGTGAAGTATGAACCGGGATTAACGAGAATAAGTTTCAAACTTGTGAAATCTGTTAAATTATATGTAATAATACTGTATTAATTTTTGAAAATTTGATAATTTCAGGTTAATTTTCCGCCTCTCTTTAAAAATAAACATAATTTTCTGAAGAACCTGCCTGAATCCACCAGTTTTGATCCTGACGTTTAAATTATTCCAAATCAGTCTGAGAATTGTACAGATTCAAGGCTTGTAGGATTAAACCTCTGCAAGCTAAAGAAAGCAGCCATTAGATGAGAAAAACATGTCTCCAGGCATCTTAGGTTTTTGATTTATCGTAGGGCACTTGTTATTTTTTAGACGTCATCAGGTACGCAAATCTGATAAAAGCATTAAGTGGCATGGCAACCGGGGCAAAAGTGCCTATTTCCTGCGTTGTATGGCTGTTTTCTCCGTTGATGCCATGTCAGCTTATACGTACATGTATAATGCTAAAGCCTCTTGCTTTGCTTCACTCTCGAAAACACTTCCATATTCATTGCAAAGTTTGCTTGCAACGTCACTAGCCTGTAAGAGGAGGGGTCTACCCATAGAGCTATATTAAATTACTAGAGTGCTAACTCCTCATTCTTGCATGCGGAGACACTTTGAAGCTGTCTTGCAATGTTGAAGGAAAACAAGCTCTCAGTGGACTGTATGGCTACTTTGAAATTTCAACTGCAATATTCCAGTCTAATTCATAATTATTCAATGAATTTTCTATTTACAACTTTACACACATTACCTCAGTTTTATAATCTCGTTTTTGGCATTAAACTGGCTTAGAAAGGTACTCTTCTTACTTTGCGATGACCACTGGACACGTCGTAACTTGCGACGTGTTTTAAGCCATTGCCAAGGAACTTACGACGCTTTCAACACATCGCAACTTTCGTGAAATGGATGATACGACGCGTCGTGAGTTGCGACGTGTTACACGTCGTAACTTGAGTTGCGACGTGTCGCGGCGCTGTGTGAAATCGGGTGCTGTACAGAATACAAACGCAGATATATGCAAATAGCCGTACAAAAAACGTACACAATTTCAAGTTTTCCATAGGTTTGTGCACAAACATGGATGCGCCTAGCAGGCATCACTTTGTACGTGAGTCAGTGCTCTAGTAATTTAATATAGCTCTATGGGTCTGCCCGATGTTCCCCAATACCTATGTTCCCCAAAATCCTTAGGGGTTAGGGTTAGGGTTAGAGTTGGGGAACGTGTTAGGGTTGGGGAACATACATGTAAGTATTGGGGGACATATGTATTGGGGAACATAGGTTTTGGGGGACATATCGGTAGGTATTTGGGAACATAGGTATTGGGGGACATCCAGGTATTGGAGAACATACTGTAAGTATGCAGCTGTAAGAGGGTCCCAAGGTTAAAATTTGAATATCCGGTTATCTTAATAATCTGAAAATGTTTCAAGTAATTTATAAGCAAAAGAAAGTACTAAGAGTTCACTTGCTGTATAGTCTGGTGACTCAGGATGGTTGTGTAGATGGTGGGTTTTGATTTCAGCCTGTTGATTTTTGGTATGCGTGTTCTTAGGCAAGAGACTTGATCCGTACTAACTGCTTCTCCCCACCCAGGAGAAATGGGTACCTTGGTGGACAGAAATAGTTGTTTTATTGACTTGGCTTCTATGTGCTGTTATGGCAGCACATAAAAAAAATACATTTCACCCAGAAGTGATAAAATCTTAAGAATACCTTACATGCCAGATGAGTAGGGGTAATAAACAAGATCATTTGTATTAATTTTAATGACAAACATGTAGAGCGCTTAAAACCAGCATTTTCATAAGCAGTTATTTAACAGTTGACTACTGTGATGTGGGATACAGGTATGGTGTTTTAACACCCGGGCATAGCACCCGAGGCGAACTATGTGCCCCAAGGAAGGTAAAAATTGCATATCGCACATCACAGCAGTCAACAATTGTTTTGTTATATCGTACCAATACGTCGAAAAGACAAAGGGATGTAACTACGAAGAAATAAATTAAATAACTGTGGTGTAACCTTTGATAACTGTAAGCTTTCTTGCTGGACATGAGAGTGGTTGTAGTTCTCAGGTGCGGGGCGACCCCACATGTGCATACAACGCAGAGGTATATGCAGCGCAGTGTACCGGTATATGAGGTAATTTATATGCAGCGCAGTGTATATGAGGTAATTTATATGCAGCGCAGTGTATTAATGAGGTAATTTATATGCAGCGCAGTGTATATGAGGTAATTTATATGCAATGCAGTGTATATGAGGTAATTTATATGCAGTGCAGTGTATATGAGGTAATTTATATGCAGTGCAGTGTATATGAGGTAATTTATATGCAGCGCAGTGTATATGAGGTAATTTATATGCAATGCAGTGTATATGAAGTAAACAGTTATTTTTACAGACTGGACTCATGGCTGTTCTAGACCGAACAGTGATATAACAATTGCACTTATGTTTATTATTGTATTCTCTTCAGTTACAGATTTTGTATTTTATGTTTTTTATTAATGTAAACTACTTTTTGTTGGTTGTTTTCTCCAGGAATGGGGTGTGAATTTGATCACGTTTGAGCAGGATCCGGAGCCTATCTGGCAAGACCGTGATAATGCCGTCAAGAGACTGTGTGAGGAGCGTGGGATCCGATGTATCGAGAGCGTATCCCATACCCTATGGGATCCCAATGAGTAAGTCACTTGTGAATATTCCCGGACAGGCCCCCAATGCAAATTAGAATGAACAATCGTCAGACTTGGAGAGTGAGAAATCAGAATTTACGGCATGCACCGGGTGTGCCTGGAATGTTCGTCCCCGTATAAAGTGGATCGTCAAACTTTGGGGGGTGCCTTTTGTTGAAATAATAATATTAATAAGGGAATAAATGTGTGCTCCGGAGGTTTTTATCACTCTGTTTAAGATCGCTTAGAATCTGGGTGCTGATAATTACCCGAGCCTGAGGCGAGGGTAATTATCAGCACCCAGACTCTAAGCGGTCTTAAACAGAGTGACAAATACCGACCGAGCACATATTTATTCCCATTCATAAATACCTTTTTGGTAAAAAAAAATCAAATAATTCGTTCAAAAATCCCGATTTTGTTCAACAAGTTCACTTCATGTTTTTTTAAACATCCCTCTAGCAAAATAATGGAGTGTTAAGCTGGCGAGTAAGATGTAAACAACCCTTTTATGGAGATTGACGTGCGCGTAGCATGTTCTGCGCGATGTCGCGCAGAACGCACCTGGGGCGTTGCGTTTTGAATTTAGAACTATAAAATTCTGAATCGCTGGTAGTGTTGCGCATGCCTACGTGAGGATTGTGAACGTTCAACCAATGAAATGGTAAGAGGCACTGGATTTTTAGGAGTCCACATTTTATTGTGACACTGGAAAAGTGTTTAAGACCAGCTAGCCATGTCTTTACCATCCGTTTAAGACCGGCCACGTGACGGGCTCTCGACCAATAGGAATAGCTAAACTGTCTGAGGTATTTATGAATTGTTAATTAAGGTGTGAACTGGTTTGCCTTTGCTTTATTCATGTCCACTTTGTTTTGGTTCCTTTTATGGGGAGTAAATTTCGGGGTTGGGTTTACTCTTTTGTTTGGAAATCATAATGGTCCAGGTATCCTATACATACAGAGAATATCACATTCTCTAAGGTATCTGATATACAGGGCGAGTCAAAAAGAAAGTGACCGAGCGAGAAAAATATATTTAAAGGTACAGTCCATCATTTGTAGTTTGTGCATTGTGTTTGTTTGAAGCAACAAAAGTGCTCAAAGTCTAAAGAAGGGTGCTGAACAACTAACCTGATGAAGTTTCAGCTCAGCTTCAGCTGTATATTTCGAGAAAAACAACATTCTAGGATCTCGATTACAAATCACAAGTTGCTGAATCATGTTTTGAATTGGGCATGACATGTTCTCACTGAGCCGATTGCAGCTACGCGATGTCAACGGCGCCCGTGTGTTGTGTCAACGCTTGTGCGTGCTTTGCCGAATAAAAAAAAAAGCTACTAACGGATATTTCCAATGATGCGTCTTCAGGCCTTCTTTTGTTGATTTCTTTGAAAATGGCAGGATGCCAGAAAGAACAATTAACTATTTTCCTATAAATACAGTGGAAAAAATGGAAAGGAAAACAGTCAAAAGTTTCCATTATCATTTAAAAAAAACCCTTGATTTATTCCTTTTGTACAAAATACAATATCTGAGAGCAAAAATAATGTTTCAGTCTTTCAGGGTGGTGAACAAACACAACTGCACACCTAATTTGGATAAAAAGTTGACTTCCATGAATTTTTTTCATACCCATTTAACATGTTTAACTGAAAACACTAAAAACATAGTTTGAAATCTAATTTATTCCAATATCAAGGGAAATATCGATTCTTTTAACCTCTGTCCCTCCCCCACAAAAAAATTCAGAAAATGAGAAATCAAATGCATGAACATGTACAAATGTACATGTACCAGCTCTAAAAAAAAAAGAGAACATTTAAATTGATGAAACACTAATTTAGACCTAAACTTTAAACCATGAAACATTCTTAACAGAGCTAGAATACAATACGATGGTACAGATAGTTTTGTACATTTTCCGTTTATTTTCTACATCAGAGTTACGTCAAGAAATGGTGGCACCCCACCCGTCACCTACGCCATGTTCCAAGAGGTTGTGTCCACGATTGGGCTGCCTCACCGGCCCTCGGGGGAGCCAGACTTCAGCTCCGTCAAGCTTTCCATCTGCGATAACTTTGACCAGTTCGCACTGCCTCACTTTCAGGACATAGGTTAGTCAATCACAATTTTCTAACTGACTTCGCTGAACTCCAATCTGTAGGTCATGACCTGGCATTCTTACTTGAACTTCTTCATGTTTTCTTCCAAGCTTTTTTCATTTATTATCATGGCATGTGTTCCAGTAGTTTTGTCAGATCCATTCACTATTTCAGTTCCAAAAGTTAATACTTTTCAATTTAATACAGTCAATTTTTTTCCCTTGTATTGCCTCTCTCTGGAACTCTCTACCCGAATCTTGTTTTCCATATACAGGGTGTCCCCCAAAACATGTCCAACTGGAGGATGTACAGAATTCTCGTAATTTATGAAAAAAAAATTGAATTCAATTATAGAATTGATGAGCCCAAACATTTTTCTTTCTAGTGTGAAAGAAAACAAAACAAAACCGTGTTATTGGTTTTGTAATCCGTAAAGGCTAAGTCTAAGGCTAATTTCAACTTTCAGACGCAGTTGTTTTCTGCCATAATATCCAGGTCTAATAAGATGTTTGTTTTACGTTTTGACAGCTCCAAAGATGGAGCATCCGGATCAAGAGCGACAGCTGTGGATTGGTGGAGAGACAAGAGCCCTGGAGCTTTTTGAAGTCCGGGTTCGCAGAGAAGCGGCTGTGAGTGAATGAAGCCCATGCAAACTTGTTATCAAGTCATCATAAGTCAATCACAAGTCAAGCATATGTCAATCAGACATCAATCACAAGTCGATCGCAAGTCAATTGCAAGTCATTCACAAGTCAATCACAGCAAAGCTTCGAGTCATATGTAAAGTCAATCACAATCATTCACAAGTCAATCACAAGTCAATTGCAAGTCAATCACAAGTCAATCACAGCAAAGCTTTGAGTCATATATAAAGTCAATCACAATCATTCACAAGTCAATCACAAGTCAATCACAGCAAAGCTTCGAGTCATATATATAGTCAATCACAATCATTCACAAGTCATTCACAAGTCAATTGCAAGTCAATCACAAGTCAATCACAGCAAAGCTTGGAGTTATATATAAAGTCAATCACAATCATTCACAAGTCATTCACAAGTCATTCACAAGTCATTCACAAGTCATTCACAAGTCAATCACAAGTCAATCACAAGTCACTCACAAGTCAATCACAAGTCAATTGCAAGTCAATCACAAGTCAATCGCAGCAAAGCTTTGAGTCATATATAAAGTCAATCACAATCATTCACAAGTCGTTCACAAGTCAGTCACAAGTCAATCACAGCAAAGCTTCGAGTCATATATATAGTCAATCACAATCATTCACAAGTCGTTCACAAGTCAGTCACAAGTCAATCACAGCAAAGCTTTGAGTCATATATAAAGTCAATCACAATCATTCACAAGTCGTTCACAAGTCAGTCACAAGTCAATCACAAATCACATTGCAAGCCATCCAGTCTCAAAGTCACACGCTATTCAAATGAACTGTGCCAAAGACATATTTTTGTCATTGCTCATCCCTGTTACTTGTTACCATACTTGTGATTTGACTTGTGATCAACTTTATGATTGGCCCAAATACAAGTCTAAGCCTTGGGATCATGTGAAAAGATTGCTCGTGTTAATCCTAACTCCCAAGGCATTTTTGCTAGGATGCAACCTCATAATCCTGCAAAATCCTCTAACTGCCTCCATGTAAAAATGGAATACAGCCTCAATCCTCCAAAATCCTCTATTTCTTGAGTGTGGTCCTTGGAGGGGTGACCACTGCCTCAATCCTGCAAAATCCTCTGGCAATCACTGTCAATATGTTGAGGCACAGCCAGTGTCATCCTGGAGCAGTGCGGAGGATTTGAAGTACAATCTACGCCTACATTTATGCACGGCTGAGCATAAACAACACAAGGTCCGGCCCAAGACCTTGACACAGTGCATCGTCCAAAATCAGCCGCATGTTTTTGCTATATAGCCTCAATCCTGCATTATCCTCCGCTTTGCAAAGATGATTTTGGAGGATTTGGGAAGGTTAGGGTTAAGCTGAGTAGTGTACTTGAAAGTGTGTTTGGAATGTGGATTGATTCCAACTAGTTGCTTTAGGAGCCAGCATAGCTATAGCCATAAATGTACACACATGTACATTAGCATTATGATTAAGCCCTTAAACTGCCAGTTTCATGAATATTGACGGCCATTTCAATGGATTTATCATCAGTCTAAGTCACAACAAGCCATTTTTTTTTATCCGCACAATGTGTGTCATTTTACAGGCCTTCAAAGCTGGATATTGCTTGCCTAACCAGTACATGCCAGACCTGTTAGGCCCGCCCATGAGCCTGAGTCCGTACTTGAGGTTTGGCTGTCTGTCTGTTAGGAAATTCTACTGGCGCATCCATGACACCTACACAGAAGTAAGACGTTGGAGCTTTTACACTTTGCATGATAATATAATTCCATGAACGTAAAAAAAATATGCACTTGCACATAAATGAATTAGGATAAGTGATGAATGTCTAATCAAAATTTCATTGGGGTTGCTTTCACAGAAATGTGCATTGCTAAGGAGTACATTTGGGAAACTTAAATGACAAATTTCTCGATTTTTAAGACTTTCTGAGCCCTGAAAATTGGGAACTGAAAATATCTAGGAACACTTATCGCTAAGAGAAGGGGTTTGCCCCGGTGTTTCTGGCAGTGGCTGCAAAATGCGCCGCAGCGTGCTACATAATGGGTCTCGTATTTCTAATAACTTCATTTACCTGTCTTTAAAAATAGACATAGGCCTAATTACCAGTGCCTTGAGTACCTAATTGTTGGTAGATACGTGCGCTATATAAGACTCTGGTATTATCTATAACTCCGTAATATTTTGTCTGATTCCCTATTGTATACACCATTGGAATGCTTATCAATACCCTTTCTAGTGAGCCAAAATCCTAGTTAACAAAAACTGGTCCAAGTGACTGGTTTTGTGCTGGCGGGTCACACGTTTCATTTTTTTTCTTTTGACACAGCTGAACAACACCATCTCACCATCCCACCTGACCGCACAACTCATCTGGAGGGAGTACTTCTACACCATGTCAGTCGGCAACAAGAACTTTGACCGGATGAACGGCAACAACATCTGCCTGAAGATTGACTGGAGTGAAGACCAGGAGAAACTTCAGAAATGGACAGAAGTGAGAGAACAGTTTGTCAATTTTTTAGCTGATGCATGTTCCCTTAAAATGTTTCATTTAAAAGTGAAAATATTAGCTTAACAAATGTGGAGTATTTAAACACTTAGTATTTTGGTGTTTATTTATTGAGCATGGCAGTGCACACCTGAAGAAGTGTATTGGAGGATGCTTTGACTCACCAGCCTAGTGAATTTTGCAGTGCATAAAAATGCCATTAGAGGGCTTATCTGCTCGTCAGCAATGGAACTAATTCAGAGAGATGTCGAGGGTCTGGAGAGCTCACTACAGTCTTGCTTATTTTGGTCCATTTAATGCCAGTTAAAAAAATATTACTTAGTATTGATCGAGACAGGTATTGGAGGGCAGTGCAAGGCTTAAGCAAATGCCATGATCTGTTGCTGTGCATGACGTGCAATCCATGGTCAGGATCAAATACTACTTACTGTTGAAATCTTGCTTGTTTATCTGTAGCATGTACTCATCAAAGGTGAAATATCAGCTCCCTGTTAGCAAAAAGTAAGAAAAACTTACTTGCATTCTCTCTTGACAGGGTAGTGCTTAAAGTTTGATGTGTCCTTTATCATTATTTAGGGTGAAACAGGCTATCCCTGGATCGACGCTTGCATGAAACAGTTGAAGGTTGAAGGCTGGATCCACCAAGTAGCTAGGCACGCTGTGGCCTGCTTCTTGACAAGAGGGGATCTGTGGATCAGCTGGGAGGATGGACTCAAGGTGAGGCAGTTAGTTGGTCGGTTTGCATGTTTGTCTGTCTGCTAGTGAGATTGCAGCAAGTTGTGGCTTGCTTCTTGACGAGAGGGGATCTGTGGATCAGCTGGGAGGATGGACTCAAGGTGAGGCAGTTGGTTGGTCTGTTTGCATGTTTGTCTGTCAGTGAGATTGCAGCAAGTTGTGGCTTGTTCTTGATGAGAGATCTGTAGATCAGCTGTGAGGATAGACTCAAGTGAGGCAGTTGGTTGCTCTGTTTGTCTGTTAGTGAGATTGTAACCGTTGTAGCATTCCAGCTAATAGCGCAAATACTTTGTCTTGGAGGGCGTGTTACTTCATTCAACACAGCCAGAGCATATTGTGCACTAGCACTTGTGTTTTTATGTATAGAAGTGATGATTTTTCCTCTCATCTATCGTGTAATTGTTACTTCACCACAAACCTTTCGAACTACCCTTTGTTCTTGTATCATAAAACATCCAAATCAATAAGTAATCAAGCACCTCAATTACTGATCCTTTCACTAATTAATTGATCTTCCCTTTACCCCCCCCCCCTTCCCTTTCCAACCAGGTTTTCTACCAGTACCTGCTAGACGCCGACTGGAGTATCTGTGCCGGCAACTGGATGTGGATTTCTAGCTCTGCCTTTGAGAAGGTCTTGCAGTGCCCTAACTGTTTCTGCCCGGTGCGGTACGGCCGTCGCATGGATCCCAACGGGGAGTTTGTCAGGTGAGAATGGTTCAGTCCACAGTGGACTGATCCATATCAGGCCCCGCCCACTAGGCGAGTGGGCAACAATACCTGCCCTGTCTCTAGCCACACTGCATGTTGCAGATGTGCGCGTCACACCAAAAAGTGTCAAATTACACTAATCACAGCTTTGATTGGGCAAACATCGCAGGATGGGTCTTGACCCTAACCCAAAGGCCCTTTTTTGCTAGGAACCATCCTCAATCCTCCTCAATCCTCCAAGATTGTGCACTGAAGTTCACATGAAGGAAACCCACTGCCTCAATCCTTCCAAATCCTCCAACAGCCCTGCCTCTCAAAATGCATTCAGCCACAATCCTCTGAAGTCGTCCTCTTCTTCAAACACCATTCAGCCTCAATCCTAACAAATCAACTGATACTGAATGCCCATGTGCCTTCAATCCTCCACAATGTTATGTTGCATTCATCCTCAATCCTCCAAACGCCTCCAAAACTGCCCGGAGGCCTTCGGAGGAGGCCTTTGAAGTTTAAATGAAGGATAGCCACTGCCTCAATTCTTCAAAATCCCGCCTCCAACCGCCCTGCATCTCAAAATGCATTCAGCCTGAATCCTCTGAAATCCTCCTCTTTTTCAAACACCATTCAGCCTTAATCCTCCAAAATCAACCGATACTGAATTTCCATGTACTTTCAATCCTCCACAATCCTCAAAAAATTGTATGTCGCATTCAGCGTCGATCCTCCAAACTCCTCCAAAACAGCCCTGAGGACTCTGGAGGATTGAGGAAGATTTTGGCTAATGGATCTGTCTGTTGCCAAATATTCATGCGGCTTTTACTTCTATTGAAGTAAGCTGCCATGTAGAGGGGGCTCTTTGTCACTATTTAGGGGGCACTCATGGAGTCTGTAACATCAACAAGTTTTTCAAGCTCAAATATCAATTGTTTTCCTAATCTGACAGCAAAGGTCTGAAGGAGTTACAATGTTCTTAATGTTTATGCCACTTGATTTTTTGGAACATACAAGTACATGAAAATGGTAAATCAGGCCCGAAAAAGTAAGACTCAGTTATTATTTGTTTTTGATTTTAAATGTTGTAGGCGATTTTTGCCAGTGCTTGTCAACATGCCACTGCGGTATCTCTTCGAGCCTTGGAAGGCACCCCTAGCCGTACAGGAGAAAGCTGGTTGTATCATCGGTAAGGACTACCCGATGCCGATTGTGGAGCATCGCGCAGCAGCATCCAGTAATCGGGAAAAGATGAACAGGACTGTCCAAAGCTTAGAAGAAAAATGTAAGTGTTTTTGACACGCGCTTTCTGTACCTAATACCTAAGGTGTACTTTCCTAATTTCGTCAGCATCCAATATTGATGAACTTGTGCGGTAATAGAATTGAGCTGGAGAACATCTAGTGGGTTCTGGACATGATGACCTCAGAATAAGGTCCAGTCAATTTGGTTCATAATGGCAGGCACAAATGGGTGCCTGAGATTTCATGCAAAGAGATCGAGAATCCACTTTTTCAAAGTTGCACACTTCACATTGTGAAGCCTCAAATCCAAATCCGACTTGTGCATGGTTCCCTTTTGCATTTCAGTCAGTCACTGCACTCCATCCAATGAAGTGGAAGTCCGGGAGTTCTCCTGGCTACCAGAGACGATCCGAGGGGTGGAAAAATGCACGGCCGATGACCTGTGTGAGATTCTTGGCATTTAGAAGGGTCAAGTGTCAAGGGTCCGGAGGTTGGAGACGACGGATTGAAGTTCTCAACGGGTCTGCTTCGCATTGTTGAATGATTAACGACTCCAGCTTCAAATGTGTATTCATTCATTAAACTGTCCATTTGTGCACAAATCGCCACCAATTGGGCCTTTCTTTTCATTATTAACTTGGATTACAGATTCGCCGCCAAACAAAAACCCTTGCCCATCAATTTAAAAAAAGGTATTGTTTCACGATTGTCTGAATACTAGGCACTCTAAGATGGGCATCCCCAAAAACTAGAATTTTTTTATCCTGGCTACCCCTCCAACTTTACGGGACCTGAAAAATCTGTTATCCACAAAAAGCCATGGTTAGTGGTACCATTCAGTATTCTAAACAAATGAACTATTATTATTTTTTAAAAAGAGGCTAACAATTAAGTTCTAGCCTCCAATGTAATCATTAAAGTAATTCACTTTTCAACATGTCAGAGATGGAAGAGTCACTTCAGTTTATAAAAGATTTTATAAGTCTGTGACGATGGAATGTAAAGTCTTTATTTGAAGGAATATTGAAACCAAAGCATGCGTGTTAACGTTGAGCATTTTAGTCCGATACTTCAGCTTATCCTCCGCAGAGTGTTAATGTGTTATTTTCTGCACAACTCATTTCTTTTATTTTATTTTTGGCTTGTTCACTGAACAGTTTTTAAAGAAAAGCATATATGTCAACATGTTTTAATGATTGTACTTGTTTTAATGATTGTGAGTATTTTGAGTATGTTTTAATGATTGTAAGTATTCTTTTTATATTTTGGAGCTTCAGGGGATGATACAATTGTGAAAATTGTTTCAAGAATATTTAAATGCAAATAATTTAATCACTTATAGAGTTGATATTTAATTGTGATTGTGTATATTCGTCTTGCATGCTAACACATTGGGTATATCACATTTACAAATCCTACACTCGCCCTTATCAGGGATTTATTCATCACATCCGCTCATGATTTTGATAATTCTACAAAATAACACAGCCAAGGTGTGGTTATCTGAGATGATTTTTTTTTTTTTTGGAGGGGTCACACTTACTATAGCTTATACCTAAGCTGTACTTTCCTGATTTTCCCAACATCCAGAATGGATAACTAGAATTGAGCTAGAGACCCTCTAGTGGGTTCTGGACATGACCTCAAAACAAGGTCCAGTTAAAGGGAAGATACAACATTTGCAAACATCAAAAAGCGAAATGATCAAATTATCGCAAAATATCTTACTGGATTTTTAGGGAATGACAGTCCAAAGTATCCTGTAAAATCGTGGCTTCTGGTGTGCTGACTTTTTTTTAAAAAACTTGTATTTTTTCAAGACCAGCATTGGGGAAAACTGGCTTTTTTCAAAAACTGCTCCTAGTTTTCCACATCTAGTTATTCCGCATTTTCTTTGCAATTGATTACACACCTATTCCGCACTTTCTTTGCAATTGATTACACACCTGAGAAGGGGTACAAGCCTGCTCGACTGATTCTCTGACCTTACAATTCCCCAAAGTCTATAAATTGCGCCGTTTCATCTTAAGTGGGGTCAGGGAACCAGACTACAAGAACATGGTTGGTTTTCTTGGATTTTTCAGCATCTCCGAACCCAAAACGTGACGCCAGTCAGTTTAACAATATTTGCTAAAACATATTAATCCTCCAAATCCATTTATTTCTGAAAATTGCAGCAAAAGCAAATGTTGTACTTTCTCTTTAATTTGGTTCATATTAGCGGACACAAATGGGTGTCTCATGCTAATGAAATAAGGTTGCTAGTCTAATACAGTCGATCCCTGATAAGAAGAGTACTGTTAATACGGCATCCTGCTTATAACAAGCACAAGTTTTAAATCCAAGGGCTTTGGCTTTCTTTGTTTTCCAATACTGTTAATACAAGGTACCTATTATAGTCCAAAGGACTTCGTTATAAAGTGCTAGTTTCAAATGTACATGTGAACATTTTTGGGGTTTGTTCAGTTCTATTGTAGTTGCTTGAAACATTTTAGAGGAGCGCAACCATCTTTGAGAGGGACCTGGTTGTTTGAAGTTTTCAAAACAATAGAATAGGTGTTTTCGATTGGTGAATTATTTGGATTTTTATATTGTAAATAATATCTTATGATGATAAAAAAAAATTGTATGTACCTTATTGAATGCAAACAAAAATGTATTTCATTGTTAAAGCCTTATGAGCTGGGATAAAATAATGGAGTAAGCTTGGAATTTGGTTTTGGGGGGTTTTTTTGAAGGGCAAAATGTCCAGATAATTAAGAATTGGGATCTAATAGAATCAGAAAAAAGAGTGCATAAATGCACATTCCAAGAAGCATATGCACAAAACATCCCTGCATTGAACGAATGCACACTCCACCTGAGCATTGGTACATTGCAGATATGTCGCCCTCTCTGGTCTGGGTTTGTTTAGTTTAATCTATCAGGGTCCAGGAAAATGGCTCGGGGAGTTTAAATGGGCATTTTGAGAAAAACACAAAGAAAATCATCTGGAAGCAGTTACAAATTTTAACTTGGGCACAATCCAATAGACAGACGAAATTGGAATGAAAATTAAAGTGTTTTATTTTTGTAGCCAAAAAAAGGTATAACATAGGAACTGTATCAAGCAGAATGCATGTTATATTTATATGTGAGTAATCATGTTTTTAGAGCACTCACAAGGTATGTGAAATTCTGTGCAGTAAGAAAGACAATACATTGATTGCTTCTCGCTCTACTGAATTTAAGACTGGGTGCTATTGACAAGTTTCATGATGTATTTGTTGTATTCACAAGATGAGCACTTCAGTTTTCGAGTCGTGTAATTTAGCAATTTCCTAGGAGGGTTGGGCCAAGTCATGCATAACTTCAGTTTTTCCTTTGAATCAATGCAAAACACTTAGGTTCTCATTCTCTTTTTTCCCTTAAATTGAAATCATCTTCAATTCATTGAAATTATCTTTAATTTTTACCTTCTACTTTAACAAAAAGATATTTTGGAAGACCAAATAATTAGATTCCAATCATTGTAATTAAAGCAAAAACTGAAATCTATAAAGTATTTTTCCCCATTGTATAAAAAAACTTAAGCGGGCATTACATTGACGTTGCAATGCTATATGTTAATGGTAATGATATGCGTGTACATAACAGCCGTGTTGATATCAGCCGTGTTGATATTAGGTCAATGCTCTCGTCGTTATTCGTCCCGTACGAAGTCAATCGTCGGCATAATCCTCACGCGCTATACACATGCATGTAAAAATACAGCGCGAACAGCGACCTCATGCGGCCACTATTTTTTATGCAAATCAGTTGAGGACGATCTCGAGCCTTGGTTCAATCGTCGGCAAAAGCTTATGTTTTTCTTTATTTTGCGCTGGATTTCTAGCGCACGACCTCGTATGCGAATACAGATAAGTGTAGGCGGGGCTAATATGTGGAGTGTCCAATCACACCTTGGTAAATCCGGACGTCATCAAATTATTTGCAGCTATTCGCCTTTTGCGGACGTGACAGGAACCACAGTTTTTGTGCATTGGTGCCGTGTGCAGAGACACACAACGTGTACGTGTATGGATTATGTACGGTGCCACGTTTCACTATGCAAGTTTCCACGCAACGATCGACCAATAAGAAAACGACATTTAAGGTCAGCTAAGGCTATTAACATAATGAGCACCACCCCCAAAACCTCACATGAACGATTGAACCAAGGCTCGAGATCGTCCCCAACTGATTTGCATATAAAAATAGTGGCCGCGTGAGGTCGCTGTTCGCGCTGTAATTTTACATGCATGTGCATAGCGCGTGAGGATATATGCCGACGATTGACCACATACGGGACGAATAACGACGAGAGCATTGACCAAGGCTATGTTGATATAAAAAAAATTTAGCAAGAAAGAGGCTTTTTAATCTGCAAATTTAATGTATGAAGCCACCATATACCTCAGCAGTTAGGCCACCACACATCAGGAATGTAGTCTCTAGTTGCAATGTTTGAATATTTGTAATGTTTAAATATTTCATAAGTAACGCACTGTTTGTGACAAGGGCTATGCTCGCACCAACAAGAGTGTAAATAAAGTTGATGTAATGAACTGTCGTTCTTGTTACACTGATTTCCTTGTGATATGTGTCATGGACTTGTGTTAGACTGAACCAGTTGCTTAAGCAGATCTTTTATCTTGAAGAGGAAATGGACACCATTTGCAAACATTCAAAAATCGAACCGACAAAATATGAAATATCCTACTTCATGGCAAGTAATATGATCAAGCCTCCTGTGAAATCATATTTTTTTCTTCAAATACTGCCCCAAATGGACCGAATTTACTGTAGCTTGCAATCCCTTACATATCCATGAATGAGAATTATTCCTCTATTACACACCTATTAATGGGTACAAGCTAGCTAGACTGGTTCCCCGACTTCACTATTCCCGGACGTCTATATATTGCTCTGTTTTATCTCAAGTGGGGTCAGGGAACCGGAGTACAGGAAAATGATTGTTTTTGTTGGTTTTTCCAGCATCTACGAACACAAAACTTCAAACAAGACAGTGTAACACTACTAACTCCCCCCCCCCCCCCCACCCCATCCCCATCCATCAATTTCTGAAAATGACAGCGAAAGCAAATGTTGTATATTCCCTTTAAATGGACATTTCCAAAGGGAGGGCTTTTAACGGAAACCTTGCCCTGCATCAAAAAAAATGAAGATGCATTTTCAGTTTTCTCAAAAAGTACATGTAGCTTCGGAAATTATTGTAAATAAATTGTTTTTGCAAACGGTGTCCACTAAAATTCTGTGCTAAGCCACTCAATAGACCTGAGACGTAATGACGTAATGGCTTTGTTTACATACATGCGCTTTCCTATGGGAGCGAAGTCAGGAGGCCAGACAAAGTGGGGACCGTCTACTACACAGGAAAGCGCACATGTAAACAAAGCGTGACGGCATTAGGCCTATTGAATCGGCCATGTTCCCATCTTGTGGCTGACTCCTTTGCGCCATGTTTTTTAGATCATGGGTACATGTTGCACAGTCTGCCAACAAAATGGCAAAATGGGAACAATTTCAGCCAACTTTCTCGTTTTGTTTGTCCTTCCACCAGTCCATACCGTGGTGGTTTTTCTGGTGATTTTTCAGACTAACGTTGTGTTTGAAGCCCTTCTGACAGATCTGGCACTGATAGGGCCTAACATCTGTGTGCGTCCGCATATGCAGATTCATATTACCCCTTTGGCTGAAACCCCGCCCACATTCGGAGCACTTGAACGGCTTTTCCTCCAAGTGGATAAGTTTGTGTGTGGTCAGATGATGTAATTTACCGAACTGTCTCCCACACTGTTCGCAGACATGTTTTGAAGCGTTTTTGCAGCGCTTTTTTTCAACGTGATTACTGAAAAGGCTTTTGGTGACAAATGCCTTATCGCATTCAGGACATTTGTGTAGTTTCCTGTCCTCCTTGGCTTTGTGGGTCTCTCGGTGGCGACGTAAGTATTTGGGATTTGAGAACCCACGTCCGCACACCTCACATACAAAGTTGTGAAAACTGTGACTTTTCACATGTCTCTGCATGTTCTCAACATAGTCTTCACATTGCCAGCACTGCTTCAATATCACTGCTATTTCACGAATGTCGCCCTGTAGAGACAATGAAGGTCCATTCCCCGCCGAGTCGTTTTGCTTGTCGGTGTTCAGATGGGTCTTGGTGTAATGCATTCTCATGCTTTCGGCTTCTACGAACCTCTCTTGACACGTCTTGCACTCGTAAGTCACTGGAAGTCTGGAAAGTTTTACATCTTGTCGAAAGCTGTAAGACCTGTTAATTAAACAATAAGGAACAGCCAGTTTTAGTTCACCAAGGTATTGGAAACTTGTATGAGCATTTCGGGGAATAAAATATTGTTTACAAAAAAACATGTCTCAACCTAAACTGAAATTGAACTGCTAATTAACCCTTACTCTCTGAGGGTAGTTTACTGCATGTCAGTTGGTTATGCCAATGCCCTCCAGCTGCAGTTATTTGGCAGATAACAAGTCTTAGCAGTGAAGGCTCCAATTGGCAGGAGTTGGAGGCCCTGGAGGGTGCCTGATACTGACCAGCTGGGGGCACTCACTTTGTTATCAGAGGACTCTCATTGTTCTCTGTGGCATGTATTGGAGTGCCTGTCCAGTTACCCTTAAAATGACATGGCAGATATTGGAGGGCCATGCAAAAAACATAGGAGATTTTCTTGAGGCACATATTGGCATGCGTTGGAGGGTCAAGTAGGGTAAGGGTTAAACAAAAGACAGAAAGAAATGTATGTTGCCAATATGGTCAAACTGACAAAAGAGAGCTTGCGCAGAGCATCCTCATTCCTCGCTATGGACAAGTCTTTTTTACCAATATACCAGTTCTGTGCAATAACATTACATCTTTAATGTCACAAACTTACTTTGTCTTCGGTTTCTTGTGCCGTGCTCGTGACTTTGCTTTGGGTGTACGACCTTTGACATATGGGACGTAGTCTTCATCACTGGAATCCTCCTCCATCTCCATATCATCATTAGCTTCATCATCATCTCCATCTCCATCATCATCTTCTTCTTTCTTATCTTCTTCCTTATCATCTTTTGACATCTCTGCATTTTCATAGTCTTCAGAAGTCTGGTCTACTTGCTGAAACTGAAAGTAATCGATCATATCCTCCTTTCTGTGATCAACACCGATATCTGACGTTTTCTCTTCTTCAATAAATTCCTGTTTCACAAATACTTCTGCATCGTTCCTATCCTTGTTCCTTCCTTCAGCACAGAGATCCACCTTGACTTCGTCTCCGGTACTGGTTAAGAAAATGAGGTCATTCCCTAGTCCAGCATCCGTGACTTGTTCCAACGGTTCAGTCTTGATCCATCCAAGTCCACTGTCCGTTTGAGCTTCTTGGCAAACATTCAGCTTCTCCTGAAGTACTGGCTGTGGACAGCCTACATGCATATCATTCTTGGAATCCACAGAAGGCTCCTGTTTCACTTTTACTACCGGAAGCTCTTCAACAGAGTCTGTCTTGCTGTTTCTTTGATTAGATACGAGTCCAGGATCAATTTGACCTTCTGGAAGGATCTGCTGCTTCTCTTGAAGTAGTGGTTGTTGATTTCCGTTATCATTCTGGAACTCCGGAGAACTCCCCTGTTTAACTTGAACTACCGGAAGCTGTTCATCTGTGCCTATCTTGATCTTGCCTGCATTTGACACAAGTCCAGGATGAGTTTGACATCCTTGGCGAATCTGTTGCTCCCATTCAAGTACTGATTTTTGAGTTTCTGTATTACTCTCGGAATCTTGAGGATTCTCCTGAAGGTGTTCAACTGATTCTATTCTTATCCACCCTGGGTTTGATACAAGTCTACTTTGTCCTGGGAAAATCACTTGCTGTTGGGACACTTGCTGTTGCTGTTGGAATCTGCTCTCACTGTTGTGTCCCTGAGCTTTTGGCTTTATTAAATACACCACCTTTACATTAGGCAGTGGTGAAGTTACCAAAGGGACCACATTATCGTCGACCACGAGATGTACCGTTCCGCTAGTGGCTGTGTGTTCCTGCTGATTGGTGGATGATGACAATAGATCATTGTCTGGAGCCTGAAGCTCAGATTCAGGTACAGTGTTGTGCTGGTTGTTGGTCACGCATGGCTGTTTTGCTCCTGCTTTTGTTTCGTGGCTGATTTGCTGAGAAAGGTCATTTTCCTTATCGTCTTTATTATGCACAGTTTGCAAGGGACATGTGGCCTTGTTATCTGTACAAGTTCCACTCTCACACTTATTGACAGATGCTTCCTCGGTATCTTGTTTGTCAACAGAGCTGTGCTGTTCCCTTGGTCTAATCCTAGGAAAAGCCTCAATTAAAGTCTGCAACAAAAGTTACATTGAAAACATCACGTTAAAAACTTTGTTGTATTTAAGAAAAAGGTCCATTGCATATACATCCAAAGTGGCAAAATGCATTTTTAATGAAACACTTAAAAGTTAATACACTTTTGTACTTTCAGTTTCACGGTAATATATGCGCCATCTTGTTCACAGGGCAAAAAGAACACGTAAATGCTAGACGTGAGCACATATTGGAATGAAGGAATGATGACTTGGAAGTGCATTGTGAAATTGGGAGGAAGTGAAATTGGGAACAGTTAAAAATTGGAACAAAAATAACAAAGATAGTGGATATATTGCCGGAGGTAATGCCGGCAAGCTAACGTTAAAGGTTTGCCGGCGGCAATACATATCAACAGAGGGCGCTGTACTCTCTAAGATAGGGCTGAAAATAACATTTTCTTTTTCAGATTTGTGGCTCTGGAGGATTTTATTTTGGAAATAAAGTCCGAAATTGTAAAATGGCCTGATTCCCATCTTGTGAATACGAATCTTTTACGATACGAAGTTACAACGAAAATGTTAGCATGGAGCCAGACTAAAAATTTTCACCGAAAAATGTCCAAGTACAGTGCATATCCGGCAAGCTAACGTTTACTAAAGGTTTGCCGTCTCCGGCAAAATATCCACTGCCATTAACAAAGCCTCAAAGGCTTTAAAAAATAAAAGCCAAAAACTTACTCGAACCCTTTCACTGGTCGGCGGATCTAGCGGTGTCGAATTCGCCTTGTCCCCAGGGAATATTGTTGGGTATGCATCGGGCTTCAATGCACGCTTTCTTTTTAAGCCAAACGATAAGTACAAACTGTGATCTTCGTAGCAGCTTGTCTCAAAATGATCGCTACAAATTTTACTGTGCGCGGAAGGGCCCGACCAGTTTGCTCTGGTCGTTTGCACTTGTTTCGTCCAAATCTCCCGCCTTTTGAGATCCGAGGGAAATTGGTGGAAGCTAACACCCTCATGTTTATGTGTATTTGAACAACCAGCAATAGCACAAACATTCACCATTTCTATGATTTTCCAGAATAAACACGAAATAACCAAACGGTGTTTTTGGCACGTAAACAATAAATGGAGAGTCTAGTCAGTAGTCAGTTTTGGGGGAAATGCATTTATATTCCGCACGGTACGTCTGGATGCTAGGCATAATAAATCCCCGCGCCGCCCGCCTACCATCATAGGGGCGTGTCAAGTATGAGGAAGGGGGGGGGGGGGTTAACCCTTTTTACAACATTGTAAATTTTATCACCATATGGGGACGAGCGGGGGAGGGGGTTGTTACAGGGGGTGTCGCCCAATTTTTGTTAAACTCATTAAAACCATGGTTACTTAAAGGGTTCATGAAGTGAATTTTTCTTATAACATTCGGTGCAACCTTCCATGAAAACTATTTGACATATTCCTTTTTGGTTAATTTTATTGAAAAGTGCACTTCTATATTACATAGTTAAAGTTGTTTTGTTTCCCCCATGCTTTTTTCAGGTTTTACCTCAAACATTCATTTATTATCGTTTATTATTATTTATTATTACATGTATTTATTTATTTTGTTAGTGCTGCTTTTGTTGTTGCTTTTTTTGTTAATTGGATGGATTTTTTTTGATGCAGTTTTTCTCGCATGTCAACTGCCATAAGTATTTTTTTTTTTCAGGTTTAAATTTGCTTATTATTTATTTTTATTTCATTTTAAATTATTTTGCTTACTGTACCAATCTTCCGTTCTGTGTTTTTATGTTGTGTTGTGTGGTGTGGTGTGGTGTGCCGGTATGGTGTAGTGCCTTGCCTTTGCCTTGCCTTTGCCTTGCCTTTGCCTTTGCCTTGCCTTGCCTTGCCTTGCCATTTTGACACATTTTGACTGTCTTGCTTTTTCAAAGGGTCCATGACATTGGTTTTTTTTTTCAAAATTGTCTTGATTTAATAAGCAATCCAAATTATTGCTTCCACATTGGTTTAATGAACTAGGACAATATAAATTATTGTTCAAGTTATTTTATGTCGTTCAGGATACCCCCTCCCACAAAAAAATGTGTTTCCCCCCCCCCCCCCCTGCAAAATTTGTTAGTCCCTTAACTTAAAAATTACGTTTGTGTCACATTTAAACATACATGTATTTTCAATTTTTGTTTTGCCATTTTCAAGGGTATGGGTATTTAGGTGTTTTTGTTTTGGGGGGTTTGAACAGCAAAACCCCCAAACTCTGACCAGTGTATCTTCCTGAAATAACATCACAGCAACAGTGACCTAAGTTGTCCGGAAAAGTATGGAAATTTCTTAAATGTTTGAGGAAAGATCATTGATAAAAAAACAAAAACAAATAAGAATACTGCAAATGTTGAGTTTGGATGAGTTGCTGAATAGAAGATTCATTTTGATTAAATTTTAGTTTTTGTCAGTGTCTGCAGATTCACATTTTCCAATTGTTCCTAATTTCTATTAAATATGGCTTTCGCAGAAGGAATGTGTGTGATTTTTTTTTAGACACCCTTTATTTTAAAATAATTGTCACATTTTATTTCACATTTACATACCAAAGAATTTGATGATCAATTTTTCAGGTACGTTTCCATCAAGGCTGTATGCAAGATACAGTAAAGCTGGAAATGTTATGGATAGCTACAAATGTATCGTACCACAAAAAAAACCACGTTATCCACATTAATCCATTAATTTTTATGTCTGCAAAGAAAATAGCCAAATTAAGTGCTATTTTTCAACCATTAACCTCATAGTAACTATGGGCTCTGTGCACAAACAACTGAGGGCGCTGTTTGACCACTTCTGAAAGCCCAGTTGGCGGGACACACCGCGTGCACGTACTGGTTCGCGCGCGTATAACGCAAAGAGGGCATGACTTATTATATTCTCAATGTGCACAAATCCACAGCGTCTTCGCATGAGTGTCAGGCATCGCCGGTTATGCGTTTGAATGTTTCACCCAATGATCTCCCCAACTCTCCATTTCTCATCGCTGAGAGGATATTTGTGCAATGAGCCCATAAGCCCTTTTCACTCGAGCCTCTCAACCCGGGTTCGACTCAACCCCGGGAAAACCCAGTGCCGCCCGGTGTTAAGTTTTTTATTTTTCAACCCCACGTTCAACCCCGCATCATTTCATACTTGTTTCATGCAAATCAAGCTTATCATGCTCCGTTACTACTGTTTTAAACCCTGTCAAGAATTTCAGCCTGGGTTGAAAATCTCAACCCTGGTCTGGAGCAGGGTTGAGCTCAACCCCGGGCGAAATCAATCTCGGGGTTGACGCAGGGTTGACATTTTTCGAGTGTGCAAATGATGCGTGTTTTCAACCCTGCGTCAACCCTGCATCAACCCCTAGATTTACATACATAGACTGAAATCCAACCTGCTTTGTTCTTTTTAATGTAGACATAATTATACTCTTTTGCTGGTCCCAGAGAGGTTCCAGACTGCCCGACTGACTGGCTGACTGACTGATCGTCACTTGTGAAATGTAACTGGCTTCGGTCTCACCTTGGCCCGAACGTTTGAACAGGATTACCCCTTTGAATGAATGGGCTAAATCCAGCCCGTGGACTTCCAGCAAATAACCGTTTTGAATCGGGTGAATAGACTGTTATTCTCTCTTTCTTTCTATGCCAAGAAAATACACCATCGTAAGGAGATCTGGATCCCACAAAATTCAAACTTTGAATACACTGCAGACGTATGCACTCAAGTTAAATGTGCTCTTGGACGGAAATACTTTGTACTTGTTGGTACTTGGATTAAGCCTGTTATACTGTTTCTAGGCATGATGTGGGTTCATTTGCAGACTTAAAATGAATATCCTCATTTGTATGACTTCACTATATGAGTCCTCATGTGCACTTTCATGGTGTGCTTCTGGGTGCAACCCCACCCACAGCTTTTTCATCAGATGGGTGCGTCTGTGCACAGCCAGTGTCTTCTTCCTCACAAACTACTTGCCGCACTGCTTACGAATGAGGTTGGTGAGTTGAAAACACGTGGGCATCCAGAGACATTTTGTCGGTGAAGGTTCTGTCGCACATTTCACACTTGTGGAATTGAAGCGACCGCCGCTGCGAGTTGTGGCACATCTGATGTTTCCGAAGGGAAGATCTGAAGACGAATCCTTTCCCGCAGACGTCACAAGTGAACCTCTTCACCGAGTGGATTCTGCGATGGGCTTTGACGTCGTCCACATATTCCTTGCAATGTTTGCACTGCCTCAGCTTGGTAGCGATCTGGTTCACGTCAAGTACTGGGAAAGTGTTACTTGCTGTCACCACGTCTGAGACATTCCCTTCCCTACCTGGCACGCTGTCAGCAAGCTGGTTTGGATGTTCTCTGGCGTAGTGGGAGATCATTTCAGTAGACTTCTGGAAGCGATGGCAACACATCTTACATTCGTACAGCCTGGGCAGTTTGGCTAGCTTCATGTCCAGACGATGTGAACTAGAAAATCAAACAGTTATATCAGTTCGTCAGATTTACAAGAAATCACATTTTGATATTTTATGTGAAAGTCTTTCTCCAATCACATTTTTTTCTGGCACACAAACTTCAGTGGCAAAGCTATCACAGTTTCACTATCAGAGTAAAGAAATAGACAAAGGAGCTTGAATTTTACTCACTGGTGTTTTTTCTTTTTGGACATTTTGATTGGCCTGCTGAACATCTCGTCTAGGTTGGACACTGCATCTAGCCTCTTGAGTTTCTTCTCTTGCAATTCCTGAGATATGACTTCCTGTTCAAAACAGCAAAATGAACTAAGGTCATTTCATGTGACAGCAAGTATTTGAGGTCATTAGTTTTTCATAGGCATTGGCGTTTCGAAACTGGGTCAAATTTAAAAATGGAACCAAAAACAGTTTAACCCAGACACTTCCCAGGATCGCTTTAAATGTACATTCATTGCAAGGACACTGCCTGGGTGAGCATTCTAAAAAACAACATTTAAATGATTACTCTTTCAATCTTAGTGCAGTAGTTATTTTCTCATATTGTGGAGGATCTTCTAAGCTTAAAGCAATGCATATAAGTCTCAGATTTTGCACTAATATGATATGATTACTTTAAGTGCATAGTATATAGGAAAAATTACATAAGCAGGGGCTCAATTTAATAGAGCATTTTAGCAGAAAATGCTGCTGAGCAAAAACAAAACAAAAACAGTGAAAAAAATTCACAAGCAACACACCATGCACAATATTTTGGCTGGTGGCGTGTTCGTGCTAAGCACACATCTTATATGCTTAGCTCTGTAAAACTGGCTCAAAAAAACTACATGGATTTTCATAGTTCGACAAAACCTGCTTCACATAACTCTGGTAAGACAGCAATTTCAAGACCTTTACTGACAAGTTTACCTGCCCTGTGTCCATCTTGAGAACATCATTAGCATTTTGGAAGACATCCATCTCCTCTGTTGCCTGTTGCTCCTCCTCAATGTTTTCTTCCACCTTCGCGTACAATTCACTGCCACACAATAACTCCATCGTAGGAATACAGTCCTGTTGCTGTGGGGGCACCCGACTAAGTCCTTCCCAGCTAGTGCTTCTCCCCGAGGTAGCATCACATCTTTCCTCCTCTTCCTTGACTTGATCAGTTGCCATGGTATCCCGCATCCCCTGTGCAGGATATCTTTGGTGTCGGCTTGTCGTCTCAGGATACTGGACGTCACTGCCAGCAGCCATGGAATACAGTGCAGTGATCAAATCATCTTCGTTTCTCTCCTCTGTCCTCTCCACGTTGCCGTGGAAACCAATACCATTCTTGCTATGCTGCAAATTTTTCCCCTCAGTCTTGGCTGCCACGGTAACAACCTCCTCTTCTTCTCCCATGATCTTCTGCTTGATCTTGGAGATGATGCCTTCCACAGAATCTCTCTGCTTTTGGATCCGTCTTTCTAAGAGTTGTACACAGTTGGCGTTCACACTGGGTCCTGTATTGCCCCCAACAGAACCTAAGTTTGTGTTGCTGTAAATAAGACAAATAAGACATCAAAGATAAATTCTTAATTCTTAAAATGCATTTTTAGGCATATAATATATGAAAAACTCCCGAGATTCAACGGATCCATGTGAGGATCCTGATGGCCGCTTTGGAGCGTAAGATAGCCCTGTTTTTGTGGCTATAAACCTTCTGCCTGTCGATCCGGGTCGATCCGGGTGAGCTACACCAACGCACCCATTATTGATGATGCATTTTTCTAATGCTAGTCGGCCGACCAGCGTTGGAAAAAAAACGGCTTTTTTTCAAAAACTGCTCCTATTTTTTCATATTTAGTTATTCCACATTTTCTTAGCAATTGATTACACACCTGTGAAGGGGTACAAGCCTGCTAGACTGATTCTCTGACCTTACAATTCCCAAAAGTCTATAAGCTGCTCTGTTTCATCTTAAGCATGTTAAGTGGGGTCAGGTAACCAGACTACAAGAACATGTTTTGTTTTCTTGACTTTTCCGGCATCTACAAGCCCAAAATGTGAAACAAGTCAGTTTAACAATATTTGCTATAACATTCTAATCCTCCAAATCCATTTACTTCTGAAAATTGCAGCAAAAGCAAATTTGTACATTCCCTTTAAGGTAATTATAGAAGAAATGACAGCATACCAAGTGCAATGATTTCACAGGATGCTTGAGACTATTATTCACTTGCAGGTTTTCCATAATAATTTGGTAGTTTTGGAGGTTTTTTTATGTTTGCAAATGTTGTATATTACCTTTAACCACTGTTCTTGCACTTACCGAGGTGCAAATGTTATTTATCTCCTTTGTGACTGGATGAAAACTATATGATTGCCGATCCATAAAACATTCTACAGCTATCTGCAGTAATTATCCTTAATTGAAAACTTGATATCTTAAATAGGAAATTCCCTGTTATTATACACAATGAGTGTGCTACTTACCTTACAGGAGAGACTTCAGATTCATCTTCAGAGCCTCCCTCTGATGCCGTCAGCGTCTCAGTGTCATCAAAATCCTCCTCCTCCTCCTCCTCATCTCTCAAGTCTTTCTTCTCACCAAGGTTGTCATCTGGCCTTCACATAAACAAATTCAACAATGCATCCAACAATAAGACAACACTAATGTTATCAATGAACAACACATGTGTTCTTTGGCTTGTGTGTCAATGTATTTGCATTCACCATTAATATTGCATTCTGTATCTGTATCTTTATAGTCCGTAAAGCATCCCAGAGTAAACATCACACAAACTCGGAAAGAAGACAATGAGAAGAAATTACAGTTTTAGAGGTGGGAGGAAAAGCCCAGAAGACATTCTGGGGTAAACCCACAGAATCAGGTAGGGACTGAGAACCCAATCCACATATTGGCCCGGGCGGGATTCGAACCCGGGTCACAGCTGAGGAAGGCGAGGAAAGTACCGCTACGCCAACCTGACTCCCAATGCCACCCTCAAGTCTTCTGTGATATGGGCATATCTTTAACTGAAGTAAAATTTTCTTGAAAACAAACAAACAAACAATTGTTTCTAGTTGGGTCAAAATTGAATGGAAATCAGTGCTGCAATATACCAATCACAAATCTAAATTCAATGCTGGTTTGCAAATAAATTTGCCAAGAAAGGTCTGAATGGGACTGAAGGGAAGGGACAAGACAGCCATACAAAGATTGGTAACTCACCGGGAATCGTGTAATGTTGGAAGAGAAAGATGTTGCTCTCTTAATAGCTTCCTGCAGTTATGCAGTTGCTCTGGGTACATTGTAAAGTTAGCACAATCTAAAACAGACCAACAAAATTTTAAAAACACATTAAACAAAAGCTCCTTCTTTTTGAAACTAAATAGACAGCAGCTTCTACAGATTAGCCCTATAAGAATATTTCAAGTAAGAGAATAAGTATTTTTTATACCTCTGTCTTGAATACTGTATTTTCATTAGCCTAGAACAATCACTTGTTAACTTTATAAAAAGTCATGGTGCTATGACTTTGTATGTACTGTACGCACAGTGTGAAATGCTTGTATCGTTGGTACCCACGCTATTTTCACCATGTTTTCACACATGAGTGGGAGCAGCGAACTAGCAGACGATCAGCTGTTTCGAGCTCGGTACGCGACATGCTTGCGAGTTGACGTTCGAATGTCATGATTGATGTGTTTACTGATGTTTGTTTTCGTGTTTTCAAAGTCCAAAGAATCCAAGACAGAGGTATAACAAAACAATTGTTGACTGTTGTGATGTGGGATATGACGTTTTGAACACCCGAGGGGTGCATAGCACCCGAGGCGAAGCAACTTGTATTCTCAATCCATGGCAATAACTGTGTGCTATTATTCCTAATAGCATGGTCCATATGGCACTCTCGTGTCACGTTATTCCAAGATGCGTTCCTTCTGCACGAATGTAATGGGATAACTGCTGAAAAGTTTATGTACCGTGTGCGTGTTCCATCTTAAGAATGCATCAAGTTTGCTTGATGATAAATTTGTCATCCCACTAGTCGGGCTCATGGAACACGGAAAATGTAGTGCCTCTTACGTCCTACATACCACCAGGCCGAAGATGCACTACATTATTCCATGTTCCACTCGCACTCATGGGATAACTAATATAAATACAAAAAAACGCTCACTTCATATTCAAGTTTTTGGCTTAGGCACGGGACCACTTACATCTACAGACAGAGTCAACCAACAATTACTCTAGAGACAGTTGGTCAGTTAACAACTTACTGTAGCAAAGACATGTGGATTTTTCACCTTTGTTTTTCTCCAAAGTTTGGATCTTTCTACTGCTACTGCAGGTTTGTAGATCATGGGTTCTTCCCGATTATTGCAATTTTCCAGAAGAAGTCAAGAAATTAGGACAAAAACTGCCTCATAATATGTGAATATCCATGCACTCGATCGGCCACTTACTTCACAGTGGCCTGAAATTCCTGAATACTGTCTACGGATTGGTCTGAACAAATGAACCGCCACATGGGTCACGGCTCCATTAAAGTGTAAGTAAAGTACATGTATAAAGTCTGTCACCAGCCAATGTGGCCCATCAGGCTGGCGTTATCTTCAGTTTCATTAGCATGAAACAACTGAGAATATTTCTATTCCCTCTGGATGGGATACTTTTCCATCGCAACTTACTCCCAAACTAATGCGGTACCAATTCATTCTCCTGGGTGGAGAGAGGCAAGTGGGGATAAAGTGGCTTGCCCAAGGACACAACATATGGCCAGCGGCTGGATTCGAACCTCTGACCCCTTGGATCATGAGTCACGAACCCTAACCACTCGGCCACACTCCTAATTACTTGGCTTTGGCTTGCAATTACACTTGCGCCTATGGAAATGACAAGAGCAACTTCCCATGCTTAGCCATAGCCAACTTATTCGGATGGAGCCTAAGGTCCCTTGTCCTCTTCATAATCACAAACATTCCTGACCCCTGCTCTTACCAAGATGCCTTTGTACAGGCTTTCTGTTGGTGGGACCTTTGGGATCACAGACGTCGTCTCTCCAACGTTGCTCCATACTTTTACATTTGCATTCTTCTTTATCGGTCTGAACTCCAACATTCCGAAACTTACTGCAAAATGAGAAGGGAAAAATATAGACAGAAAAAAATATAAATAAAATCAGAATTTCTTACAAATAAAGAAACGTTTGAGTCATTTGACTATAGATTTTAACAGCAGCGTCTAGGATAAACTGGATCTAATGTTTATTGGCATCAAACAATTGACTTCGAGTACAACTCTTTGATTTGTTCAAACTTTCAAAACTTTGAACAAAATTTTGAATAATATTTGAACAACACTATGTTACTATGTATAAATCCATTTTTTTTGGGTCCGGAGTGTCATTGACTAGTTTCAGTTCATGACTTAAAAATGTACCCTTACAATAAATAGCAGATTTTTTTCTAAACAAAGTTTCTTGTAGTCTTTGACCCTGGAGTTACTATTATTAAAAGTAGGTATATTTTTCAAGTTAAAAAAAATCCCTTTCAATCCAATTATTGTTCAACTCACGAGATGTAAGCATCTCCACAGCACAGACTGCAGCCAGTCTCCGTGTGAAATTTCAGCAAGTGCTCAGCGAAGTCGGACTGACACAGCTTGAACTTGGAGTACTTGGCACTGGAGGAGGCGTACATGTCTTTGGAGGCGGACCACAACGAGAAGATGGTTTGCCCCAGACGAATGCTGTAATTCTTAGTAGGAACGGCTGCCTTCGGTCCTCCCATGTCTCAAGATGCTTGGATTGGGTCCTGAAAAAAGCAGCAAATTCAGATTTGAATCAAAATTTAAATGGAATGTGGGTTTTTTTGGGAGATACTTTGGCAAGAATGTTGCAACCCGACGCCACTTTTTTCTTTATACATCATCTCAATGAAGGTCAGTCATTGCAGAAATGATGATAAGACATGAATCTGGGACTGAGAAACATTTCAAATTTTGTTAGGAAATACTTAGAAAATGTTCTTGACTCTCAACAGACTTTGTACACAACCGCTGAAGTGGCATCAGATTGCAAATTTCTTTCCGGCACTTTGTTGGTTGTGTACAAAGTGTCATGATAAATCATGAAAATATTCTGTTCTTCGTCTGGTAGAAACAAAGAAGCAACCCCACTCATTTTTCATTTTTCTGGTAATGGAAAACCTCATACTATTACTAGTCAAAACACCCAAAACCTTGTTCATCAGTTCATAAATTTATAGAACTTGGCAGTGTCAACTGGCATACTGTATTACTCGTTAGCTAGCCCCAGTGCAGAAAAACATGAAAACTAAATCTGGCCAACTTTACTCCGGCACCTACCCCACTAGTGTGGCCGCGGTATGCCGCGCTACCGCGGCCACACTAGTGATGGGGCTATCCACTTGACTTAGCCGACAAAATTCACCAACATTTTCATGAGGCAAAGACAAGTTTCTCAGTATTTCACCAGCCAAGTTTGAGATCTCAATTAAATTTTAAAAAGGAGGCTATTAATTGCGTACAAAGTCTATGGAAAGTCAAGAAATATTTTTAAGTAATTACTATCAAAATGGAAAATGTTTATGTTTAGCTGGTAGTTTAGCTGTGGCCCTATAACCAACCGGTTAAACTCCTGATCAAAGATCCTATAGCGCCGTAGCTAGCAAGCGGCTATGGCGTGTCAAACGTTGCAATATTCAATATTTTGCAATATACATGTTAGATGTTCAATATTGTGTTTGTTATCTTTTACATTTATGTGCGGTGTTCAATTTAAGTGTGCGATGTTTTTCATTATTTGCGCGATGTATATTTGTGCGATGTTTTACAATATATGTGCAATGTTCAATATATGTGTGCGATGTTTTACATTTTATATGCGATTTTCAATTTATATGTGCGATGTTTTTGACGATATCATGTGCGATGTTTTCAATATTATATGTTCGATTTCTTGCATTAAATGTGCGATGTTTTTCGATACAATTGTGTGTGTTGTTAGAGGTGTACCTTGTATATTTAGTAAAATTTGGCAAAATCAGATTTGTATGAAAAATCTAAAATGGTAAGGGGTTAACCTTGCTTTTTTAGCAAAATTTGGAACATATTTTACTAAAATTGGGCAAAATCAGATGCTTCTAAAAAATCCAGATGTAAAGTTTCCGCAAAAACAGCGTTGAAAAAGAGCCCAATGTTGAACTTTAAGTCTGAGGTCTATCGAGGGGACGATCCTTATTTCAACTCCCGGAGATTCGCTGACAGTCTCTATTTATCTTTTTAAGAAAGTCGAAATACATGAAGAGGGAGGTGAGAATCTATATGTGCCCAGATACAAAGAGTAGAAACCTACGCGTCTGCCTTTTGAAAATACACAATTGCGGTGTTCATTGTTAATTGCGTAATGATCCGCCTAGCACACGACTGTTTTGCACATTAGGCTGTGTTATGCAGCTTCCTAACAAACCAAACACACTGGGCTCATTATATCGACTTGTTTTTACCCATTAAGGTCAAGCAAATGGACCCAGTAATCTTGGCGCGTTTGCTCACCTATAAAGACAATTTTTCTCAGTTTAAGGAACATTCTAAGGTAACGAAATGGCCGAGTGGTTACGATTCGTCGTCCACGGTTAGCGGGGTCCCGGGTTCGAATCCCGCTGGTGTCTTTTTGGTTTTTAACGTATGAGTTCAATTATTAACTATAAGAGATTTAATTTCCCGTCGTAAAGTACCAACAGTACCTTAGCTTAATCGGTAAGCACTGCTGCTGGTACTGTCCGCGAGTTCCAGGTTGGCGCCTTCGTACAGGTTCAGGGCATGTGGTCCACTCGGAGGATCAGGGCTTAGGGGCCGCCCTGTTCCTCCCTTAGCTCTTTGCTTTTACATGGTGCCTGGCCCTCCGGGGTTATATGGATGGATAGGGAAGGAAGTGTGTATTGGTCGGGGACGCCGAGACCCCGGAAGAGAACTAAGGGATCGGCTGGGGCATTGTTATGGCTCAGACCGATCCCTGAAAGCTTGACTAGCACATAACTTTTTGATTTTTTTTACCCTCTATCTTTTATACTTTGGTTTAGTTTGATATCTACAGCTGCTCGGCAGGTCTACGGGTAGTATTAAAGTTGAAACAAAGGTGTATGTCATAAATCAATGAATATTTCATAACTGACTATAATCAAAACGGAGTTTCGTTTGATCAATTTGACTATCATTATATAATGACGCGATTGCCAATTGACGTAAGAAACGCCATAAATTATACCGGGAAAGAATAAAGACGAACATTGTAATATAAATATATTTATACATCTTTCAAATAACGTGTCTTTAATTGTGAGCATTCCAAACAATACAGTAATTCGCAACAGTAATAGAATGGTATATGATTGTACGATCAATGCGTCTCTATTAAATTTAAAAAAAATATAATTTAGGGCCCTATGTGTGAAATATTCTTTGATTGACTATGAGCATTCCATACGAATGAGTTAATTCGCAAAATATAGCAACAACAAAAGAGAAAGGAAAAAGAGAAAATTCCTTTACCCTAAAAACTGGAAAAATAATTTGTTTTAAAAAGGCAAATGGGACACTTCATGTATTGATGTAATAGTATGCAAGGGGTTAACCTTACATTTTAGCAAAATTGGGGAAAATCAGATGTTTCTGGAAAAGTGCAGCTTGTAAGGGGTTAACCTTGCATTTTTAGTAAAATTTAGATGTTTATGAAACATTTCAAATTTTAAGGGGTGAACCTTGCATTTTTTAGCGAAATTGGGAAAAATCAGTTGTTTATGAAAAATGTCAGATTGTAAGGGGTTCACCTTGCATTTTTAGCAAAATTGGGAAAAATCAGATTTGTATGAAAAATCAATAATTGTAAGAGGTTAACCTTTGCCCAATTAGGGCAAAATCAGATGTTTCTGGAAAATTGCAGATTGAAAGGGGTTAACCTTGCATTTTTAGCAAAACTGGGCGATATCAGATTTTTATGAAAAATCTCAAATTGTAAGGGGTGAACCTTGCATTTTTAGCAAAATTGGGCAAAATCAGATGTTTCTGAAAAATTTCAGATGTAAGGGGGTTAACCTTGCTTTTTTAGCGAAATTGGGAAAAATCAGATTTGTATGAAAAATCAAAAATTGTAAGGGGGTTAACCTTTGCCAAATTAGGGCACTAAAAAGCAAGGTTAACCCCCTTACATCTGAAAATTTCAAATTGTTAGGGGTTAACCTTGCATATTTTTGCAAAATACGGCAAAACCAGGTGTTCATGAAAAATTTAAGATTGTAAAGGATTCACCTTGCATTTTTAGCAAAATTGGGAAAAATCAGATTTGTATGAAAAATCAAAAATTGTAAGGGGTTAACCTTTGCCAAATTAGGGCAAAATCAGATGTTTCTTGAAAATTGCAGATTGAAAGGGGTTACCTTGCATTTTAAAGAAAATTGGTCAAAATCAGATGTTTCTGCAAAAATTCCGATGTAAGGAATTAACCTTGCTTTTTGGGGGTGAGATTTTGTAAAAATTAGATGTTTATGGAAAATTTCAAATTATAAAGGGTTCAGATTGCTTTTTTTTTTTGCAAAATAGGGCAAAATCAGATGTTTATGAAAAATTTCAAATTGTAAGGTGTTAACCTTGCTTTTTTAGTGAAATTGGGAAAATTTAAATGTTTATCAAATTGTCAGTGGTTAACCTTGCATTTTTAGCAAAATAGGGCAAAATCAGGTGTTTATGGAAAATTTCAGATTGTAAGGGGTTAACTTTGCAGTTTTAGCAAAATTGGGCAAAATCAGATTTGTGTGAAAAATCAAAAATTGTAAGGGGTTAACCTTGCCAAATTAGGGCAAAATCAGATGTTTCTGGAAAATTGCAGATTGAAAGGGGTTAACCTTGCTTTTTTAAGCGAAATTGGGAAAAATCAGATGTTTCTTAAAAATTGAAGATTGTAAAGAGTTAACTTGGCATTTTTAGCATAACTGGGCAATATCAGATTTATATGAAAAATCTCAAATTGTAAGGGGTGAACCTTTTATTTTTAGCGGAAACTTTACATCTGGATTTATAGAAGCATCTGATTCTGCCCAATTTGAGTAAAATATGCTCCAAATTTTGCTAAAAAAGCAAGGTTAACCCCTTACCATTTTAGATTTTTCATACAAATCTGATTTTGCCAAATTTTACTAAATATACAAGGTACACCTCTTACAGTTTACAATTTTTCATAAATATTTCTTTTTGCCCAATTTTGCTAGAAATACAAGGTTAAGCCCTAACAATCTGCAATATTCCAGAATCATCTGATTGTGTCCTATTTTGCTAAAACAATGCAAGGTTAACCCCTTACCCCTTTTTTTCATGAACATCTTATTTTTCCCAATCTTATTCAAAAAGCAAGGTTAACCCTTACAATCTGCAATTTTCCAGAAACATCAGATTTTTTTTCCCAATTTCGCTTAAAAAATGCAAGGTTAACCCTTTATAATTTGAAATTTTCCAGAAACATCTGATTTTGCCCAATTTTGCTATAATGCAAGGTTAACCCCTTACAATTTGAAATTTTCCATAAACAGCTGATTTTGCCCTGTTTTGCTAAAAACAATGCAAGCTGAACCCCTTACAGTTTGAAATTTTTCATAAACATCTAATTTTTACCAAATTTCACTAAAAAAAAAAGTAAGGTTAATTCCTTGCATCGGAATTTTTTCAGAAACATCTGATTTTGCTCAATTTTGCTAATATATGCAAGGTTCACTCCTTACAATTTGAGATTTTTTATAAAATCTCATTTTGCCCAAATTTGCTTAAAATGCAAGGTTAACCCCTTTCAATCTGCAATTTTCAAGAAACATCTGATTTTGCCCTAATTTGGCAAGGTTAACCCCTTACAATTTTTGATTTTTCATACAAATCCGATTTTTCCCAATTTTGCTAAAAATGCAAAGTAAACCCTTTACAATCTGAAATGTTTCATGAACACCTGGTTTTGCCGTATTTTGCTAAAAAATGCAAGGTTAACCCCTAACAATTTAAATTTTTCATGCACATTAAAATTTGCCCAATTTTGCTAATATATGCAAGGTTCATTCCTTACAATTTGAGATTTTTCATAAAAATCTCATTTTGCCCAAATTTGCTTAAAATGCAAGGTTAACCCCTTTCAATCTGCAACTTTCAAGAAACATCTGATTTTGCCCTAATTTGGCAAAGGTTAACCCCTTACAATTTTTGATTTTTTATACAAATCTGATTTTTCCCAATTTTGCTAAAAATGCAAAGTGAACCCTTTACAATCTGAAATGTTTCATGAACACTTGGTTTTGCCGTATTTTGCTAAAAAATGCAAGGTTAACCCCTAACAATTTAAATTTTTCATGCACATTAAAATTTGCCCAATTTTACTAAAAAAGCAAGGTTAACCCCTTACAATTTGAAATTTTTCATTCACATCTTATTTTGCCAAATATCACTAAAAAAGCAAGGTTAACCCCTTACATCTGAAATTTTTCAGAAACATCTGATTTTGCCCAATTTTGCTAAAAATGCAAGGTTCCCCCCTTACAATTTGAGATTTTTCATAAAAATCTGATATTGCCCAGTTTTGCTAAAAATGCAAGGTTAACCCCTTTCAATCTGCAATTTTCCAGAAACATCTGATTTTGCCCTAATTGGGCAAAGGTTAACCTCTTACAATTTTTGATTTTTCATACAAATCTGATTTTTCCCAATTTTGCTAAAAATGCAAGG